TTTTTTTTTTTCTTTCAAGTATTTACTTATTTGTTCTCCAAATGCCCACAACAGCCTGGACTGAACCAGGCAAAAGCCAGAAATCTGTAATGTAATCTGTCTCTCCCATGTAAGAGGAAGCAACGGAAGTATCTGAGCCATCATCTGCTACGTCCCAGGGTGTGCATTAGCAGGAAGTTGGAATTGGAAGTGGATTCAGGACTTGAATTGAGGCACTTCATTTTGGCCTTTGGGCTTTAACTGCTGCCTCCAACAACTGCTTCTACACTGAGCTTTCTGCCACATATGGCCTTGGATGGTTTATTTTCTCTCTCTCTGAGTTTCAGTTGCCATATATGAAAACAGAGCATGATGATATCTCCTGGTCAGGGTTTGCTGGAGATGAAATATGATAGTGCATGTGAATGTAGCTTGTGAAATGCCAAGAAACTAAGGAAGTTAATAAAGCTGAATCTATGTTGGTATTTCTTAAACATTCCCAATAAGAGAATTTTTCTGGCTAAAAAGTTGTGATGATTTTTCTCATTAAAATTCTTGTATTCCATAAAGTAGATCATTGAGGTTACATGAGTATTTTTTCTTGTTGTTGTTACCCTTCTCCTATAATAGATAAAATAAGACTGAGGACATGGACTTTTCCCTCAGAGCATGTTGCTCTCTATTGGTATAGCAGGATAAAACCAGATGGTCCATGTACAGACAGCCCAGCCTTGACTGCATTATATTACATTTATAGCAGATTTGGGATTGTCCCTGCCAGAGCCCCTTCTCAAAAAATCTTTCCCAGCCAACAACCAACCTAACTACTCATGTTCAGCTAAATACCACTGATGGAACAAGAAGCATACACTTGACCTGGAGAATCTAATCAGAGCTTCCTAGAACATTTCAATAAATGGTTCCTACCCTGAAAATTGTAATTCAAGACATATGTGGGTGGGCTCTGTTGATAGTGGAGTCTGCAACTGAATGTTCTTATAAAATTGGGGCCAGAGTCAGCAACTTAACAAACCAAACTTGCATGAAATAAAAATTTGGGAGCAGTAGAAAGTGAGTCAGTGTCAGTGCAGAAAACCAGGTTTCAGAGGAGAAAATGTGAAAGACTGGCAGAGAATGCAAAGCTCAGAGATCTCCAGAAAGGAGAGTTTCACCTTTGACTTTTTGTCTCTTAGTGGATTTTCCTTAAGTCTGGGTTACTGGCTTATTTTCTGATAGGAGATGTCAGCCAGATTCCTTGAACTAACTTTACCTCATTGCTCTTTTGACTCGAGCCAGTTTGAATGGATTTTTGTCTGAAGTAAATGATCCCTGCTCATTTGAAAAATTCTCCTGAGTTTGGCAAAGACTTAGATTTCTTTTATTCCTTATTAGGGAATGTAATTTGTGATAAAATAAGAAATACATATTTCCTCTTTGTTCTTCATTTCTGGTGTAAGAGCTTCTAAGATGCTTGGCATCTGTATGTTAATGAGAAAACTGGGAGTGTGTGTGTGTGTGTGTGTGTGTGTGTGTTGGGGTAGGGAGTTGCCAGAAGAACAAACCATATGATTAGGATGTTGGATCTTCCGTCTGTACCCCATCTCCAAGAAAGAGAGAAGGACTGGATATTGAGGTCAGTGGCTTAAACAGTCATGACAATTGAATGGTAGTGATGGACAGCAAAGGCTGCCTAGTACCATCTTTTGCATTGCTTCAAGAAGAAATTCAGGAGTGAGTCGTATAATAGTGAATAGTGATTAGCAAGTGTCTTATTGAGCAAGAAAAGATATGTGCTCCACAGAGTGGGGCCCACTCTGAGGGGGAGTGACCCTATTTCTGAACTGTATTTAACATTATATGGGTCATTTAATGAAAGGGAAGGTGCATTCTAGTAAGGGCGAGGGATGGTCACAGCTTTCAAGGAGGTAGGTGGAGATTTCCTGAAATCTAGTACTGCCTCTTTTCCCTTCATATATGAGTTCCACTATTTCCTGTTATAGGGCTGGTAATGTGCTAAGATGAGGGTTTAATGAGTTAGGTCATTCTAGGTCAGCATTGGCCCCCTCAACTGGTATGAGCCTGTTCTAGGCAGGGGATCTGTTTATCTTCAGAGCAAAGGGAAAAAACCCATCTCGTGTAGGTCTTGAGACAATAAGAACTGGGCTCAATTCCCCTAAGAGATGAGAGCTTCTGGGCTGCTGAGCACAGCTTGGCTGGGAAGGTGGTGCAGCCCAGCTCATCAGGGATGGAAGCTCTTCTGCTCAGCACCTTCTAGACCTCTGCCCACTTCACTCCTCATCTGACTGTTGATCTCTTCCATTTGTAATAACCTTTGTCACGTTGACAAATGCAAGGAAACACTTCCCTCAGTGTTGTGAACCATGATAGCATATTGTTACATCTAACTAGGGAGTTACAGCAACATCCAATTTATAGATAGCTGGTCAGAGGTTTGGCATCTGAAATAGGGGAAGTCTTGTGGGACCAAGCTCTTAACCTATGGGGATGGATGCTAACTCCACATAGAGACTGTCAGAACAGAACTGATTAGTAGGACACGCTGTTAGTTCATAGAGAGCTGGAGAATTGGTAGGTGTGGGAGAAACACTCACACATTTGGTGTGAGAAATGTTGTGAGTATAGAGAAAAAAAAATGTTTCTTTTAGGGAGTGAAAATAGGCATGTTAAGAAAAAAGAGTTATGGAAAGGAACTGTTGAGTGGGAGACGGCTGCCTGTAGGTAAGATGTGAGGGTCGCATAAGGTGGTAGTAGTTACATAATTCACAAAACAAGAAAATAATTCTAGATGAGACACATTGGTAAATGAACCTGAGAACCAACAGAAATCTTAATTAATTAATTAGAGACAAAGAAAGAGGGCTCCCAACTGGTGGAAGTTGGTAGCCTAGAACTCAATCCAGGTCTCCCACATGAGTGGCAAGAACCCAATCATTTGAACCATAACTCGCTGCCTCCGAAGGTCTGCATTAGCAGGAATTTGTAGTCAGGAGCCAGAGCTGAAAATTAAATCCAGGCACGGCCATGTGGGATGTGGGTATCTTAACTGTTAGGCTAAATGTCTGCTCCTTTAGTAGAAAAATTGAGAGGTGACTGCTTCTTCGCGATGGTCAAGATGCTAGAGGGAGACACCGGCTGACACACATTTCTTTGAAAGGTATAGTGTAAATGGTGGACCCTTGCCTGGGGTCTAGTGAAAAGAAAGAAAGAAGGAAAGGGAGAAAGAGAGAAAGAGAGAGAGAGAGAAAGAAAGAGAAAATGAAACTTCGAAGGACAGAGAGAAAGAGATACAAAGAGAGAAAGAGAAAGTTCGAGCTGCTCAGAGAAAGGAAGAAAAAGAGAGAAAGGGAGAGAGAAAGGGAGAAAGAGAGAAAAAGAGAGAAAGAGAGAGAAAGAAAGAGAGAGAAAGAGAGGGAAAGAGAGAAAGAGAGAAAGGGAGAGAGAAAGGGAGAAAGAGAGAGAAAGAGAGAGGGAAAGAGAGAAAGAGAGAAAGGAAGAAAGGGAGAAAGAGAGAGAGGAAGGAAGGGAGGGAGGGAGGGAGGAAGGAAGGAAGGAAGGAAGGAAGGAAGGAAGGAAGGAAGGAAGGAAGGAAGGAAGGATTCTTAGGAAGGAAGGAAGGAAGAAAAAAGAGAGAATGAAAAGAAAAGAAAAAAAGGAATCCACATGTGATATGATGTGGACCTATATTTCAGATTAATGATCTTTAAAAGAAGTGATGGTGATTCTTTTCATTCTGCATTTTTTTACCATATAAATTTTTATTACATGCCCCAATGCTGTGATAAATCACAAAACTCTGAACTTAAATTAAACAATGTATTTGAGCCAGTCTGTGTCCTTAGACTTGACCCAACAGATTCGGGTATCTCTAAGAAGCTTATCATTAACTAAGCTTTACACACTGCCGTACCTGTACCTGTACCTGGCACTGTGCAAGGTGCTGGAAAAATACTTCCCGTTCTCATGGAACTAGTGGAGATAGACACAAACTAAATAACAAAGAAATTAATAATAGCTACTTATTATCAGTAAGATGACAAATGCTGAAATACACCACTGTAGACAAGCTGGTGAAGCCTCACTGAAGAAGGAAGAGACCTGAATAACTTGTCAATCATTCACAGTGACAGATGCAATTGGATCATTACAGAAATTTGGTAATTGCTTACTATTGTCTAGATAACAGTGTCGGGAAAGTGCGTATCATTCTTTCAGGCACTTTTGTAACTAAATGAGCAGAAGAAGAGAGAAAACAATATTAATTAGTGTCTCTCATGTACCAGGAATAGTCTACATACACATTGTCTTACCAAAGCAATCCTTAGTACATCCACTTTCAGATGGAAGGATCAAGGTCTGGTATCTTGTCCAAGAATTCAGTCAAAGCTTTCTCCAGTATGCTAGGATCTAACATACCTCTGTAAAAGGCAACACATTATCACCCATTTGGACTAATTCTCAAATAAGATCATGTGCATATTTTATTCTTAGAACATGTCTCAAATTATTTCCATTGTTAAATCACCTTTTAAACTAATGATTCCAGCCTAAAGGCCATGTAAACTAAAATCTAGCATGTTCCACTGGGAAAGGAAGGAACACACTGCATCTAAGCGTTGTGGGAGGCAGCGCAAACATCCCAATCCCAAGGGATCCCATCTGGTCCTGGCTCAAGTTCAATTCAACCATAGCAGCAGCCCCTCTTTCGACCCGCACCTCCCCAAAGTGCTCTATTTCCTTCCTTCGCTATAGCCTCAGTTACTGATTCATTCATGATTCAGTCTTGCAGAGGCATCAGGTTTACCCAAGTGCTGCGCTGTGGCACTGCTCTGCGGAAGTCGTGTCTCAACTCTGAAACTCCAAACGGTCGCTTTCCCCGCCTTGCCCTACCCGTTCCCCTTTGGTGCGGGAATGGTTCTTAGGAGAGTCCTCAGGGCGGTGAATCCTTGCGTGAACCGGGAGGAGGGTGGGCTCTGAGGCGCCTGGCGCCCCGACTCCTGGAGGAAGCCAGAGGCACACTCGGGAATGCCGCTGGCACCCAGCGAGTTTCCGCGGGCAGAGCCAGCCAGCACTTGGAGTGAAGGCTGAGAAGCTAAGAAGGGCTACCCCGCGTGCCAACTGGGCCAGGCCCGCGCCTCCTCCCCTCTCGTCCCGAGGCTGGAACTCGGAACCCGCCCTGGACACCGCCCGCCGGGCGGGTCCGCGGCAGGGTATGCACCGGCTTTCCAGAAACCGCGCCCAGAAAGGGGCGGAAAGGGACTGGGAGAAGGCAGTGGGCGCGCGGGCTCAGACCTCGGAGCTTCCGTCTTCCTCCTCCCGCCTTCTTCCATAAATTCTCCCGGGCTGAGAAGCAGCGAAGGCCTTACCTTCCACCGCTCACCCGGCGCTGGCCACCAGTCCTGCCGACCCGGCTGCCCAACCCCGGGCCGACTTCGCCACGCACAGAGCGCTGGACCCTAGCGGGACCTAGGGTTCTCACGGCAGTGATGGGGAAATGTTTTCTGGACTTGGGCTTGGACCGAGCGATCTTGTTGCAGGGGGCGTGGGTTCGGGCGCCCAGATTTTTCTCCCTCTTAGGATTCGCTACAGAGCCAGGCCCAATGCACGTAGGTCTTTAATTCATCGCCTGATGATTGAAATCAGTGTCGGAGGATACAGGATGAGCGCACGCGAATTCACATACGAGGATGGCACAAATATTGTTATCTGAGGACGAGTGGTTTGAAATCCAGATGGACATTTAAGGAGTAAGAATCCACTGCACGGTATCCAGGAGTGAATAGAAAATTGCATCGAACTGGGACCCGGAATATGCAGCTTCTTAAGCAAAGATTCCTCTTTAATCACCTCCTTTCCCTCTGCATTGACTCCTTTTGTTTCCCTACTGAGGCAGGTCCCTAAACCGTGATTCATGAAGTGTCAGCAGACCTGCAGCTTTAACTTGGAAACCTGTTAGCAGTGCTCACTTTGGAATCCCTCCCAGGCCTCCTAAATCAGGATTTCTGGAGAGAGGAGCCTTCCAGGTGATTCCGAGTCCTAGGGAAGAACCACTGGTGTACTCGTTCCGCTGTGCTTTTGTCACCAGTACTTAAGGACACATGCCAGCGGGGAACCAGAGAGCAGTGTTACTGCTTCTTTGTATTGAAAGACCTCTTCAGTTTGGGATTGTAGAAAATCAGACAAACCATGGGGGACGTGGTGGGGTGGAGAGAGAGAGAAAGAGAAGATTTCTCTGGCTAGGGTACAGTTTAACTATATGAGCCTTCTGAGAATTGCAGGCACACGTATTTGAAATATTTCATTCACCTTTTAAGAATCTATGAGCTTCTTTGGTTGTTTTCCAGTTCTTTCTGAAAGCACCTGTTAAGACAGTTTTTATAACCTAGAGGATACTCCCCATCCCTTGCTTGCAGCGATATGAGCTTGAGGCAGAGCATATGGGCTACTCTTTCCCAGTTTCCCACTCCCTGTTGAAATGCAGACCCACCGCATACCTCGGCTGGATGCTGGAAAGCACGGGAGAGGTACAGGAGGTGCTGGAAGCAGGCATGGTGGGTGCGGACACTGGGACGCTCTGACATGGGAGAAACGTCCAGGGAGAAAGAGAGACAATGATGGGGTGGTGATGTCAGGCTTCTGGGGGGTAGTGACAGCCACAGCCCAGCTACTGCCACAGCTCTGCTAGCTTCATCTGGTCGTGTGCCTAGCCCCAGTGCTGGAGACCCTTGATGGACTCTGGCATCCCCAGTACCAGGAATCAGTGTCACAATTCTACTTAGTTTATGTTCTGATTTTTTCTGCATTCTAAATTTCTTGGTGTTATGTTGCTAGAAAGTTCTGGACAACTTTGGAGAATGGTGACCTGAGGTGGAAGTGATAGTGGTTGTGAGAATTGTCCAACACTGCATCGAAGAGAGATGTTTTCATTCAAGGGATAAAAATTCTGTCGCCTGTACATTATAAGCATATACGTTTTTGAGCTTCCTGCCTGAGACACTTTGTTTTGGGTTTAAGTGTAGATCATCAACCGCCACTTAGTAAAAGTAATCACCATTTGCACAAAGCCTTTCTCTTAGGGTTGCATAGATATAATCTCATTGAAGCCCCACAAGACTTCAGGAGGTGAGTTAGCATTATAATCACTATCATCATCTTTCCCTTTGTTGGCAGAGAGGAGAAAACTGACCATTCAGGTCCTCTTAGGGAAGAGTTAGATGCATGTGGAATCAGTGCTGGATCCAGTGTTCCCTGTGCCTAGTCTCCTGCCTAAAGCAAAGATTTCAAAGGATAGGTTGGAGGCATTAGGGATTTTTTAAAGTCCATCTATAGTTTGAGATTGTTAGAATGAGCAAGCAGAAGTTACTAACGCCTGAGGCCATCGGTGGTAGTGCCCAGAATTTTGAACATTTGGTTTGTAAAAATGTGAGCAGGAGTTAGAGAAATCTGTCAAACGTGAATGGCAAACAGCTGAATCGCTCTGGGACTCGCCTCGAACTTGAACTCTGGATTGGAGGAGGCGAGTGCTCTGAGCCTCTGGTAAACGTGACACAGCACACGACTTCAGGGGAACTGGGCACTGGCCAGAGCTGGCCAGTGCTCTTGAACGGGAAGCTGGGGTGGGATGGGGCGTGGGAGGGGTGGTCTGGCACTTTGGAAAGTCCTCCAAGGAGCAGGCGACAGGGACTTGGAGCAAGCTTCGCCCAAGTCTCCAGCCCTGGGATCCTTACCAGCAGACAGCGCATTGCTCAGGGCGGCTCCCCAGGCGCGGTGCTGCCTCGCCGGCCAGGCCGAGGGCTCCACCCGGAGAGCGGCCCTTTTGGGGTTGATTGGAGAGGGAACTGCGGGAGGGGGGCAGGAAAGCTCTGATTCCAGGTACCAGAACTGAGCCGAGAAAAGTGGGAAAAATCGAAAAGCAAGAGCAAATGAAGCGGAAGTTTCAAGGCCCTCTGCGAGGAATAACAGTATAAATAAGCCAAGACGTCTTGTAAACACTGCGGTCATAACCCCGAACATTAAACAGCCCCGGTGGCATCTGGCGCATCGGCCGCCGCGGGCTGCACTGGGGCAGCGAGCGAGCCCGGTCCCAGGCTCCTCAGCCTCGCCTCTCTGTTTATCTCAACTTAATCTTCCCTTAGGAGCTGTTCCGTAGCCTGGAAGATGTTTAAATTAGAGCCCAGTCGGCCGGAAGTCGTGGCGGGTGCTGAACGCACCGGGCAACCGCACCCGAAATGCGGCCATGCCGGTTGATTGTTAGAATGAATTGGCGAATTATTAATAACAAATGCATAATGTAGGTTGCAGCATTTTGAAAATCGTAAAACACGTCCCAGGGGTTGTGGAATTTGCATCTTTAGTGACTCCCGTGATTTCTTCATTAGTTCGCAACCCTGGGCTGTTTGGGACCTTGTCAATGCCTGCAAGGTCGTAAAACGTGGGATTTACTTTCCTGCTCGTGGCACCAATTATCCTGCGGAATACACGAAAATCGGATTTTATTTCTCTGGTGTGTTTTAACTCTTGAGCTGTGCAACTGTGAGTAACCTTAACCCTATCCAGCCTTTGTTTAAAGCTACCTTACTTCTATTAGTGTTAAAATTAGCTTTCATGAGTTCCTTTTTTATGGTTTCAGTACAAAATGTGACCTGCATCTTCATATAGGGAATCAGTATTTTTCTATCTCTAAAAGTCTGGATTCAGGTTTAAAAGAAAGAAGCATTTTTTATTATCAAACTTCCCCAATAGTTTCCTACTTTTTTCCCTTCAGATAAATGTTTATTTAAAAAAAAAAACTCACCAGGGTCAGGGCTTTTAGCAATATAAAGAGAGATTTATTTTCGAAAGTAGCAAAACTTGTCTGAAAAAAATAATCTTTAAGTGACTTCCTTTATAAATGTGACTGTCAAAGTCAGCTATTCTATGATCTACACTTTACAACATATTGTACAAAAGATACACATTGATAAGGCTCTTATTATCTATTTATATATTTATAATTACATATTGCACTTGGACCAGCAAGGCTCGCAGAGTCTTTCACCATAGGAGTTCATAAAGTTAAATAGGTGGGGATCTTTGTAAGTACAGTCGGTCTCCTCTGGCTTGGAAACGAATCTCCTCGTCGCTGTAAAGTGTTCTCGCCGGGTTGGGACAGGGAGAGGAGCGCTGAGAGGGGGAAGCAGAGACAGAGCGGAGAGGGCAGGGGTCGCCTTCCCGGGGCCCGCTCCCCCCGGGAGCGCGCCTTTCCCAGACTCGCACCTCCAAGGTCAGGACGCTGTGGTTCCACATAAGCGGCTCGCGGTCACCACTTCTTTGAGGTCACTCTCGGGTTTCCCGGCCACCATAAAGGGCCACGTCTGCAGGAGAGAAGAGGGTGGAGGAGGTGAGTGGCCATGGAGGAGGGGCTGGGGTGATCTCAGAGTCTGGGAGCAGAGGAGGGGCGCGCTGGGGGTGGGGGAGCAGGCGGTGAGCTGCCAGGCCAGTCATCTCTGCCACCTACTCGGCGTCCTGGGGCGCCCCGTGGCTGCAGAAAACCAAAGGCTGCCTTGGCGCCAGCTCGCAGCTCTACGTGGTGCTGGGCCTTTAGATTAGGAGCGCAAAGGGCTCACGCTGGGCTCGAAGTGAAACCCGAGAGGGAGAAGCGCTCCCGAAGCCGCGAGCGGCTGGTGCTTGGCCCAGCCTGAGTCGGAGAGCCCGGGAGAACCCTGCGCCTGCTGGGCGCCCTCCCTCCGGGCCCCTCTGCCGAGGCTGAAGCCGGGATTCTGAGTCCTCTCACTCCCCAAAGCCCCTTGTCCCTATCAATTCCCAGCCTCTCCTCTGACCAGCACAAACCCAGGCTTTAACCTCAGTCTCTAAACTAACCACGATCTCTTAGGGAAAAAAAAAGCTAGTAAGAGGTAACACGGACATCTTATTTAAAATAGTCTTCTACATCGCTTTCTCTTCCTTTCTCCAGGCTGTTCTGCAATAAAGTTCATTTGCGCTTCTTATTCTAAGATGAAGCCAGCAGCATTATCCAAGTGTTCTAGGTAGTACTTTCGTTTTAGTTCCGATTAAAAAAAAAAAAAAAAAGAGCCATTCAATCATCCCATTGAAGCAAAAAAAAAAAAAAAAAAAAAAAAAAAAAACTTTAATTGGAGGCAAAACCTTTTCCTTGCAAAGTGTGTTTTTGCACCCCCTCCCCCCAAACCCCCGAGACTGATTCGGTGGGAAGACAGCTGAAGTCTCTGGAAGGCTGACTTTCAGAGGAAAACCTGTCTTTCTTATCGTATATAAACA